TGGCTGTAAGGTGGAGATCCCCAGCATGTTCTCCTTAAGATCAATTAATTTGCTAGAGTGGCTCACAGAACTCAGAGAAGCACTTTACTTACAATAAAAACTATAGAGGAACAGCCAGATGCAGATTTACATAGGGTAATGTCTAGAAGGGTCCTGAGAGCAGGAGTTCTGTCCCCATAGAGCTGGGGTGTGCAACCCACCCAGAATGCTGATGTGTCTGCCAACCCAGAAGCTCTCTGAATCCCATAGTTCAGTTTTTTTTTTCTTTGAGACAGAGTTTCGCTCTTGTTGCCCGGGCAGTTTCAAGCGATTCTCCTATCTGAGTCTACTGAGTAGCTGGGATTACAGGGGCCCGCCACCACGCCTGGCTAATTTTTTGTAGTTTTAGTAAAGGCAGGGTTTTGCTATGTTGGCTAGGCTGGTCTCAAACTCCTGACTTCAGGAAATCCACCCACCTTGGCCTCTCAAAGTGCTGGGATTGCAGGTGTGAGCAATTTACAATCTGGTGCTTGGCCAATTCAGGGTTTCTTATTCAGGCTTCACTACATAAGCAGATTGATTATTGGTTTTATTTCTAGAGGTAGGGCTGACTTCTCCAAGCTTAAAATCATGGATTGGTCTTTTTGGTAGCCAGCCTACATCCAGGAGCTCACCGATAGTCACCTCATTAGAACGAAGGTGCTCCTATCACCCAGAAAATTAAAAGGGAGTTAGGAGCTCTGTGCCAAAGACTAAAAGCAGAGACCAATATGTATATTTCTTATTATTTCACACGTACCCTACAAATTTCAGATTAAATGATGGAAAGCTAGAAACATATATTATCTCATCAGCTAGCCCTAATTATCATATGAGCCAATTCTTTAATTCTATTTTTTAGAGAATCTTGACTGATAAAATAACCATAAATCATGTTATTATAGTTCACATTTAGAAAATGTAAAAAGAGAAATCACAGAAATTTTCAAACATCTGGCAGGAAAACCATTCTTAATCTCTTATAATTGTCGATTAATACCTTAAATTTGTACCAAGAAGGCACGAATCTATGTAAAAAGAAGTTGAATGTGTTAGTCATTCTAACTTATCACTAAATAAGATTATTATGGAGGACTTAATCAACTTAACTTTGCCTTTAAAAGACGTCAAAAAATTTCTTTAACTACATATAGCCTTTTAGATGTGTTTTTTTTTTTTTTTTTCATGGAGACAAAAGTTGAGAACTCAGGTCCTTGGCTATCTGTATATAGACAACTGGCTAGAAGTCAGGGCTCCCCACTAACACCTGCATCTCACTATTTCCTCCATATGCAAGGAAATAGAAACAGTCAATGCAGGCATAGTAGGCTCTTTGTATCTGCGGGTTATGTATCCTCAGATTTCAACCAATTATAGATTGAAAATATTTGAAAAAAAGAACAGTAAAAAATAGCAATACAACAATAAAATTAATACAAATAAAAACAATACAGTGAACAATTATTTACATAGCATTTTTATTATATTAGATATTATAAGTAATCTAGAGATGTTATAAAGTATATGGGAGGATATGCAGAGGTTTTATGTTTTAAAAAAGTCCTTCCTTTATTTAAATTAAATTCAAACAAGTTCTAATACATGTATTATTTATATGGTTGCTAAATTTATTAGCATCCATGGATTTTGGTATCCAAAGGGGATCCTGGAACCAATCCCTTGAAGATATTGAGGGACAACTGTACATAGCATTGCACTGGTCCAGCAATGCTGGACCAGCAAATAAACATTTGCTATCATAGGATTAAGGCAAATTAAACAAAAATACTTTTAAAAAAGTAATTAGTCAAGTAATTTTCAAAAGTTCTTTTATTTAACTTCACTGTTCTTTATAGTTTACAGATTACCTTTATTGACATTATTCTATATACAAGCATAAGAGAAAGTCTTGAAACTAAGCAGGCCTCAGGTTGGATTCTAGTTTGCTACTTTCCATCTGGGTAAGTCAGGCAGGTTGAGTTAACCAGTTATGTGAAGTCTCATTTTCCTCATCTAGTGAATGGACATAAGAGCACCCACCTCAAGATAGAGTTGGGAAGACTGATGATATAATATATGTCATAAGTACTTAATAATGATAGCTTTCACTCTAGTTTTTTTTTTTTTTTTTTTTTTGAGACGGAGTTTCGCTCTTGTTGCCCAGGCTGTAGTGCAATGGCGCCATCTCGGCTCACCGCAACCTCCGCCTCCTGGGTTCAGGCAATTCTCCTGCCTCAGCCTCCTGAGCAGCTGGGATTACAGGCACGCGCCACCATGCCCAGCTAATTTTTTGTATTTTTAGTAGAGACGGGGTTTCACCATGTTGACCAGAATAGTCTCGATCTGTTGACCTCGTGATCCACCCGCCTCGGCCTCCCAAAGTGCTGGGATTACAGGCTTGAGCCACCGCGCCCGGCCACTCTAGTTTTTTTACTCTAAGTAGTATAACTTCTAGGATTTACTGCATCTGTAGTTGAGACCAGTAGAAGCAAGGCCACAGGGACATATGCCTGTTGCAGGAACACAAGCAAGTGTTCATATTCTCCAACCCAAACTGCTAAAGTGTCTTGGGTCCCTTCTTTTTGCCTTCTGCTTAACTTTTCCCTGACTTTGATTTCTCTGGATGTAATTTCTTTCCAATACAAGTTCATCTTCAGTTCTACTTTGGTTCCCCTCAGTAACCCTTTGGCATATGAATTTCAAGCTCTTTTGTGTTGAATTTCTTGCTGCCCTCTGTTTATTTTATTCATTTGTTGTTTCTCCTGATGCAACATGGCTAAAATGCCACTCCAGATACAAAACAGTTTTAGGTAAATTTTCATTCAAGATTATTACATTAAAATGTAACAGTCATCATAGCATGTCCTTGCCTTATAATTTACTATGAAAACTCCCTACACATTTAATATTTGAAATAAATCTACATGAGCTAAACAAAAATCACACATGTACACTAATGAGTAGAATAGACTCTATGTAATAAATGCAGTGATCACTATTAGTATTCACAGTATTCTAATGTATATGTTTAGGGTGTGTGAATCTATATAAAAAGCATTATTCTTACTAATAGCTACAAAACAATGCTGCTAGTCATTCAACAATGACAGTATTTATTTTCTTCCTAGAAAATGTCTTTTTAATGGTGAGCATTTTGCTTAGTCTGACTAAAATAATACTAATAAGTAATGTATTTATTTCAAGATATGCCAAAGCCACAAGGTTTATGAAATTGCTTCATCATTTTCTGCTTGATTTTTCCCTCACATATTCTGCCAGGAGTTATTGTAAATTCAGTCCTAAGTAGATTAAGACATCCCCAGTCACCTCTTCCTCATATTCTTATGTATGATGGCCAAAATTAGTCAGATAAGTAAAGTTTTCCTTTGACTAGGGAATTCCCATTCTTAAGCCAAAAACAATAGATTTGATGGTGGAGAGATTTCTAACAGAAACAATAAACAGAAGACTTTTTCAAAGGGAAATAAAAATATTGAAAGTAAAATAAATCACAGTAATAAAGCTGCAATAAACATTCGATTATTAAAATTCATTGAAGAGGTCACATTTCTATGTCCTGTAAAAAGATAGCATTTCTTTTTTCTTGGTTAAGTACTGTCAAGGCCTTTGGCCTTAAGGCAACTTACAGTGGAGACTTGATGATCAACAGAAGCTTTGAGGGTCCCACCAGGCATACAAGTGGAGTGCAGTGACATGGCTATGGGTTTGATCTGAATGAGAAAGAGTTTCTCAGGAAAGCCTAATTCACCGGTTCAAATAATGCTGGAGCAGTAATCTTATAGCTTATGTGCTTAGTAAGAGAAGTCTTTAATGCAGGTTAAGACAGGATAAGTGAGTACAGAAACGATCAGGAGGAAAGTATACTTTAATGCACTATTTAGGGGATGGAGAAGAAAGAAAAGAAAAGAGAAAAAGAAGCAATTATTTTCAAGGTTTCATTAACTTTCCTCCATTTAATCTATGTCAAGTAAACATCGCACAAGTGATTATGAAGGAACAGTACAGGACGAGAACCGCTAACCCCCAAAGCTTCAAAGTATGAAGCTTTTTGAGCACCAACATGATGCCACACACAAGTGGAAAATCCCACACCTGATCTTATGTGATGAGTGACAGTCAAAATGCAGGCACACAACACAGTTTATTCAGCATCCCTAAGTGAATAAAGACCCTCCCAGCATTTTTCAGCTGCAATATATCTTGTCTTCACATACCCAGATTGCCCCATGCAAGCACGCCTACACAGGATAATAGAATTGCATACATGCAGACCCTACATGTCAATGGTAGGTTCCCTGTGATGCCCAAAGTAGTGTTAAACTCTATGTGCATTTCTCACTATGTTTTTTGCCTATTCGTTCTACAGTGTAATTCTACAGGTACAGTTGACAATGTCAAAACACGTGCAGATACCCTACAGGTAGCAGTCATAGAAAAATGGAACATTTATGTTGATCTACAGAACAGGAAGTCAACTTATTGGAGAAACTAGACAGTAGAGTAGGTGTGAAACATCTTATGGAAAAGTATGGTGTTAGAATGACCACCCTATCTTGACCTGAAGAAACAGAAGGATAGGCTGTTGACATCATCTCTGAAAGCAATGAAGACATGTTAATGAAAAGTAGAAAAATACTGCATAAACCTGAAAGTAAAGATCTTGATTGTGCGTTGAAAGAAGGGATCTATCAGCATCACAGTAATACATGCCACGTAATGGTATGCCAGTGATGAAACAAAGATCTGTACATTGGATGAAACTGTGATTTAAGAGTTTCATTGCAGAAATTTAAGAAAAGACACAACGTCAAATTTTTGAAGATTTTTTTGATAATAAAGCACTGCTGATAATGAAGCAGTGGAGAAATTTCTTGATGCGTTTGCCAGGGTCATGGCTGATGAAAATCTGATGCCAGAACAAGTCCATAATACTGATGAAACTCACTGATTTTGTGTTACAGCTGATGAGACCACCTTTATGGAAATTAAGGATGCCGAGGACAGTAAAACTGGGATGTGCTAATGCAACAGGCATGCGTAAGTGTAAACTTGCTGTGATAGACAAAAGCCTGCACGCTCACTGTTCTCAAGAACTAAATTGCTTACTAGTTTATTATGCTAACAAAAAGGAATGGATCACCGGAGCTGTCTTTTCTGATTGTTTTCCCAAACTCTGTACTAGTGGCTCATGCTCACTGCAGGGAAGCTGAACTGGGTGACAACTGCAAGACTGTATTATTCTTTGACAGCAGTTCTGCTCATCTTCCAGCTGAAATTCTCATCAAAAATAATGTTTAGGCCAATAAATTTCCCCCACCTGTGACTTCATTAATTCAGCCATGCAACCTGGTATTCTTATATCCATGAAGAATAAATATGCAAGTACTTTCTTGAATAGCAGGCTAACAGCAGTGAACAAAGGCATGGATGCAGAAGGTTTTCTAAAGGAATTTAGCATAAAGGATGCGATATGTGCTGTTACCAATGCTTAGAATATAGTGACTAAAAACACTTACTCCTGTTTATTCTGGTACAACCTCGGACCTAAGACTATGTTCACTAATCATGATGAACAAGGTCATGGATTTGAAGTATTCCATATGTCAAGTGTCCAAAAAAAGACGTCTGACCTCATTACATGTGCAAAAAGTATATCTTCAGAGTTCAGTAAGCTGGAAGAAGCGAATGTGTCAGTTCATAAAATCAGAGAGAGACTTCTAAGACAAAAACCATTGTTAGTGAAGCCAATGACTTTGAAGAAAGCATTTTACAAAGTCATGCAGCAGTCTGTTCATCTCTAGAGGACCCACCCGCTTCCTGGTTTCTTGACTGCTTCTGATAGTTCTTCTCATCTAAGAAAGTAAAACACAGTGTGCAATGCGTTTTAATCAAACAAAGCATCCTAGGTGGAGACTGAGAGCCTGCTGCTGTTTATTGGTGCTGTTGTTTAACAGCTGATGCAGGTGCCTGGTGCTGCTGCTATGCTGCTCAAATACCCTGAACACATTATTATTTAACTGTGTTTATGACATGTCCTTTTTTTTTTTACTGTTAAGTACGTATCTGTGAGTAAGTGTGAGAAAATTCTTGCTTGCTGGTAGCTTATAAATTCAGAGTCAGGAATAATGGTGATGCCAAACAACCACACATTGTCTACATGTGTGACAGAGAGAGGGACCTCTTCACTTTGATAGTTCAATGTACACAAACTTTGTTTTACGCTCACAGTTATTTAAAATATTGCATGAAATTACCTTCAGGCTATGCATATAAGGTGTATATAAAACATAAATAAATGTTGTGTTTAGACATGGGATCCCATCCCCAAGATATCTCATTCTGTCTATATGTGTATGCAGATATTCCAAAATCTGAAAAATTCTGAAATCTGAAATACTTTTGTCCTTAAGCATTTTGTTCTTAAGCAATGTTATTTATGAGCTAACTGAGACAAATAGATTTAAGATGGTTTACTAAAAGTTTCACAGTGAATTCATAAGACAGATAGAGTGGCTGGAATGAGTTCTTTTTAGAGTCCCAGAAAAATCTGAAAAAATAAGATTATTTTGTTTAAAAGTATGAGAACATTACATGAGAAGTAGATTACATGGTCACACCAGAAATCACTACTAAGATACCATAACTAATGTAACAGAAGGAAAATGGATGATTTATACTCATTAATTTATTTATAGATAAGTTCAGGTGTTTTAAAGAGTACATTATTTATACAACATAGTTCACTTGTGATATACTGCAAATAACTAAGTTTCCTTCCTCAGAGCAGAAGAGAAAGGAGCATTTTAAGTGGAAATAGGTCTCAAGTATTAGGAAGGAAGAAAATGATTCTTCAGCATATAATTCATGTTTAAAGGGATAGTTGAAAATTTTCCAAACAAAACTTTAATTGACCATATTTTTCCACACATAGATAAAAATCTAATGATCTAATAAATTTAGCAACTAATCAAATATACATATGTATAGGAACTTGTCTGCATCTTATTTAAATAAAGGAAGTACTTTTTTGTAAATGACAATCTTTTGGTGTATGCAAAATTTATTATGTTATCTTTTCTTCCCCAAGATGTTACACAAGTATCACCAGTTCCTGGGCACTGGGAAACGTTTGAGGTCAGAGTTAGCACGAAAGCTGCATATTTGTGTTTTGGGTAATGTTGCTTAAATGCCATGTTTATTTTCTGACCTTCAGCCTCTTGTCCACTATCATACCAAAGCACTTGAGACTCTTTAATAAGGAAAAAAATCATCCCATTCTTTGAATAGAGATAGAGTTTAAATGTTAACATCTCAAGGAAAAACAACAATAGTGAATTCGATTTATTCTGTACTGTAACATCCGGTATTAGAATTTCCTAATAACAAATATTTCCTGGCCGGGTGCGGTGGCTCACGCCTGTAACCCCAGCACTTTGGGAGGCCGAGGCAGGTGGATCACGAGGTTCAAGAGATCGAGATCATCCTGGTCAACATGGTGAAACCCCGTCTCTGCTAAAAATACAAAAAATTAGCTGGGCATGGTGGCGCTTGTCTGTAATCCCAGCTACTCAGGAGGCTGAGGCAGGAGAATTGCCTGAACCCAGGAGGCGGAGGTTGCGGTGAGCCAGGATTGCGCCATTGCACTCCAGCCTGGGTAACAAGAGTGAAACTCCGTCTCAAAAAATATATATATATATATATATATTTCCCATACTCAGTCCATGGAATATTTTGGAAGTCAAGGGCCCTAAGATTCACATATAGTTTGGTTTAACTCATAAAGCACACATTCGATTATTCTCTCTTTTTTATTAATCTGACTAGTGGTTTGTCTATTTTGTTGATCTTTTCAAAAAACCAGCTCTTGGATTTATTGATTTTTCGAAGGGTTTTTTGTGTCTCTGTCTCCTTCAGTTCTGCTCTGATCTTAGTTATTTCTTGTCTTCTGCTAGGTTTTGAGATTTTTTGATCTTGCTCCTCTAGCTCTTTCAATTTTGATGGTAGGGTGTTGATTTTAGATCTTTCCTTGCTTCTCATGTGGGCATTTATTGCTATATATTTTCCTCTAGACACTGCTTTAAATGTGTCCCAGAGATTCTGGTATGTTGTGTCTTCATTTTCATTGGTTTTGAAGAACATCTTTATTTCTGCCTTCATTTCCTTGTTTATCCAATCAACATTCAAGAGCCAGTTGTTCAGTTTCCATGAAGCTGTGCGGTTCTGAGTTAGTTTCTGAATTCTGAGTTCTAACTTGATTGCACTGTGGTATGAGAGACTGTTTGTTATGATTTCAGTTGTTTTGCATTTGCTGAGGAGTGATTTACTTCCAATTATGTGGTCAATTTTAGAGTAGGTGTGATGTGGTGCTGAGAAGAATGTATATTCTATGGATTTGGGGTGGAGAGTTCTGTAAATGTCTATCAGGTTTGCTTGGTCTGGGTCTGAGTTCAAGTCCTGGATATCCTTGTTAATTTTCTGTCTCATTGATCTGTATAACATTGACAGTGGAGTGTTAAAGTCTGCCACTACTCTTGTGTGGGAGTCTAAGTCTCTTTGTAAGTCATTAAGAACTTGCTTTATGTATCTGGGTGCTCCTGTATTGGGTGTATATATATCTAGGATCGTTAGCTCTTCTTGTTGCATTGATTCTTTTACCATTATGTAATATCCTTCTTTGTCTCTTTTGATCTTTGTTGGTTTAAAGTCTATTTTATCAGAGACTAGGATTGCAACTCCTGCTTTTTTTTTTTTTTTTTCTCTCCATTTGCTTGGTAAATCTTTCTCCATCCCTTTATTTTGAGCCTATGTGTATCCTTGCATGTGAGATGGGTTTCCTGAATACAGCACACTGATAGGTTTTGGCTTTTTATCCAGTTTGCCAGTCTGTGACTTTTGATTGGGGCATTTAGCCCATTTACATTTAGGGTTAATATTGTTATGTGTGAATTTGATCCTGCCATTTTGATGCTAGCTGGTTGTTTTGCCATATATAGGTGATGGGGAGGAAGGCAGCAAACCACATTGCCATGTATGTACCTATGCAACAATTTTGCATGTTCTTCACATGTACCCCAAAACCTAAAATGCAATTCTCTCTCTCTATATATATAAAGCACACATTCATAGATGTGATAAAAATTTAGAGATCAATGCAATTTATAGAGTAATGTCTAGCAGCACAAAAACATCATAAAGTTCGGATTTTAGGGTAAAACGTGCTAGAAAATATGATTTCAACCTGAAAGCTCTAGATGAGAATTCCTACTCCTTTCTCATTGTTCAAGACATTTGAGCTTATGGTGCTACCCTAATTTGATTTACATGTCATAGGGTCCATGAAGAACCTAGAATTAAGAGAGAGAACATTTTCCTTCTCCCCACAACCACCATGTTGGAAGATTTGGCTTAGACGGACTTAATGGCTGGAAACCAGAATCAGGGAAGCATTTACATCCTTCTTACTGAATCATTAGTTAGGAATTAACATAGCCAGCATGGAGCCTATTTCCTAATTTTGAGATAAAATAACCACAGTGCTAATATAAACTAGATTTTATATAGATGAGACTCTAATATGCACGGGAAAGGGGAAATGAGATGATAAGCAGAGTTAATGTATTCACTTCAGTGTGTTCCTCTCATAGATAAGAAAACAGATCTCGTTCTTAAGAGACCAGGTGGAGATGAAGACATTAACATTCTTCTTTACCCAAAAGTGATGAAAAATATTGTTATGAATAAGATTAGGAAAAAATTGCTTGAAGTTAAATTTTCTTTCCCATAGGCCTTTCATAGACTCTCATATGCTAAACTACTTTATGAATCTTCATGAAGAGGGTTATATTAAGGATTGTGTTCAAACATATTTGGCCATGAAATTCTTTATTAATAACTCTCAGGATCAGTGAACCAAGAGATTCAGTTCAGAAAACACCAATTACAAATGAGAACTAACCTCAGTGATGAAAATGATGTAGAATGTGTGAGCTCTCAATTCTTCTTACTACAAAAGTTTTGCCTTCCTCAAGAATCAAAGTTCTACCAGGAGGCTATTGCAATTTCAATGCAAGAGATGAGGGTAACATGATTTTATCAAGGCCATTGAATTGGGAGACTCTAGGGCAACATTCTTATTGTATTCCAAGTGAATGTTGTACCCAAGTGAATGTTGGAACATGGAGGATCCGAGGGCAATAGTAGTAAAGGCGGTAGGAAGTTGTTGGATTGAAAACTAAGTTAATAGAACTTCTTTTAACTTGGATTTTGAATGTGAGCCAAAGAGGAGTAAAGGATGATTTACATGTTTTGGCAGAAGCATGAGGTGAATGGTTGTCCATGAGAGACATGAGTTTTGGCTAGGAGGAAAAGAGAATTCCATTTTGGACTTTATAAATGATAGATTCACATCTAAGTATCAAGTGTCCAGTTTGGCATGTCTCTGATCTGAGGGCATATGGAAGGGTTGGAGTGATAAATCTGTGAATTATCAGAGATAAGATAGTATTTAAAGTTGTGGAAAGAAATGTTATCACCTAGGGGACAGAGTATTTAAATGAAGGTGAGTCAAGAACTGAGGCCAGGACATTTAAACACATAAAAGTTAGGACATGAGAAGAATTAAGAAATACACATGCAATGGGCCAATGTAATAAGGGGATAAATTTAAAAGGTATGGTATCCTAGAAACCAAGGAGAAAAAGTATTTCAAGAATAAATAAGAAATCTAGTATGTCAACCAATGCTGAGAGTTAAATGGAAATTATTGGTCACATTAAAAATCAAACAGAAAGAAAGCACAGCATCAAGATAATTAGGGTAAAGAAATACAGATAGCAAGTAAAGAGAAATCTTTGGAAAAGCTTTGCCAGGAAGGGAGGCAAAAATTAAGGAACAATGGTGAACCTAAGGATTTATTTATTTTTTTAAGCTAAAAAGGATTAAAGCATGCTTATATAGGAATGATCCATTTAAAAGGAAGGAAATAATATTGCAGAATAAAGCAAAGCCCCTTTTTGAGTTTGGAGGGCACGTTGTTCAGTCCACAAGTCAGAGATTCCAACTTAACTTGGAGAAGCAGTGATAGATAGTGTTTAAAAACAATAGACTCCAATATTAGCTTGCCTACATTACGGTCCCGGTTCCTTAAAATAAAAATAGAATACCCCTCCACACCTATGCCTTAAATCCAAAGTACTAACAACACTGAAGGCTGGTGACGATGTGGAGAAACAGGCACTCTCTTCATTGGGAATGCAGAAATAGTCCAGCCACTTTGGGAGACAGTTTTGCAATTTATTACAAAACCAGCATAGCCTTATCACATGAGCCAGCAATTGGACTCCTTGGTATTTACCCAAATAAATAAAACACATATGTCCACACAAAAACCTGCACACGAATGTTTATGGCAGCTTTATTCATAATAGGTGAATGGAAAATAAACTGTGGTACATCTATATGACGGAATATTGTATCCTGCCAATTATTTCTTTTTTTAGAGGTTTCACCAGGAATTAGAATATGTAGAACATGTATAACACTAAAACATAAGATTTATTTTTTTTTTAAAGTTGCTTCTCATTCTTTCCAGAGGCACTGCAGTGTATATAAATGAAAACTAAGTTATAAGGTACTCCTTTTTCTGTTGGAGGAAAGGGGCTGATGTTGAACCATTTTACATGGCTTACCCTTATTAGTACATTAACGTCACTAAAATAATAATACTAATAAAACTGGAGACTTCTACATTTGGCCAAGATGGAGGAACAAAAACTGAATTTGCCCTCCTGAGTAAAACACATAAATGAATATAACTAATAAAAACATGACTTTTACAGTGCTGGACATCAGAGAAAGAACAGCCATCTCTGTGAGGCAGAAAAAAAAAATGCAAACTGAGCAATTAACTCAGGTTACTGTGTAATTTAGTTTTCAGCTGTAGGGCAAGGCAGATAAATTCAGACAAAGTACTGTGGAGTCCCTGAGTCGAGGAGACAGAGCAGAGAGTCTA